TTTTACTAAAACCGAAACATGTAAGGCAAGAGTGAGAAAGAATGTGACCTAAAAAACATTTTTACACTCGACGGACTTTGTATTGATTTTATGTATAATAGTGTAACGGACCAAAAATGAAACAATTCAAAATAGCTAAACTGTTCTTATGTCTGACAAATAGAAAGTCTTTTTCTGGACCAAGGAAAGGGAGAAATCCTGAGATTGATGCCGCTGTTTTAGAGTATTTCAAACATTTACACAATAAATGATTACCTGTAACTGGGGAAGCCTTAATGTCAGAAGCAAATGAATATGCTAGAAACAGTATTATACCTTTCAAGGCTAATTGTAGATGGTGTGAAAAGTTATGAAATGAGGAAGCTTATCAGTACTATGAAGGGCGAAAATTAGTCAAAAACTTCCTTCGGAATTTGAAACTGATCTGTTTGAATTTCAGCATCTTGTTATTGAACAATGCCAAAGGAATAAGTATCCTTTAAGCCAAATTGGCATAACAGACGAAAGTGCAGTTTATTTTGACATGCCTTGCAATTATACCATAAATTTCAGAGGAGAAAAAGCAAGTGGCAATGGAAACCACAGACTGTGAAAAGTTACATGTACATCAAGCCATGTATGACCACAAATAGCAATAAATTACCACAATACATAATATTAAACAGAAAAACAGTACCAAAAGAAAATTTTTGCAAATGTGATAGTTTGCGCCCAGAAAATTTCATGGATGACATTGGAGTTAATGGAAGACTGGCTTGGATGTGTGTGGGAATGTTGGCCTGGTGCATTATCAAAATCACGTAGTATGCTTGTGATGGATGCGTTTCATAGCCATCTCTCTGATAGAATCAGAAATAGGTTAAGGAACAAAAAACACTGGTCTAGTAATAATTTATAATGGCATGAGGTTCAGTTAAACCACTTGATATGTCAATTAACAAACCCTTCAAGGATCTTGTCCATAAAAACTGTGATGCCTGGCTGAATAAGACTCATTTACACCTAGTCACAAAATAAAAAGAGCATCAGTGTCAATAATAGTGGAGTGGATATCAAAATCATATTTTAAAGTGCTGTCTGTCTAATGCGGAAATGGAACACAAGATGGCAGTGAACAAATGGTGAGAGTGCATCATCTTCACAAAATGAAAATGTAGCTGAAGGATCATTGGATGAACTTTCTGATTAAATAAAAAAGATAGAAAGGAATGTGCATGTAGTGAAAATTTTAAATTTCCATTTCATTCTGGTGTATTTTCCATTACTTTTCATTCCTTGCTTCTAAAAATTTCTCATTTTAGTTGATGTGTTCTAAATAAACTCATTGAAATAAATACACCTTTCTGATTTCTTCTTAAAACCCTCATTTAGAAATTGGTTGTGTCTTAAATTCGAGGACACATTGTATTCAAAGTAATACAGTATATTGATCTAAGTTTCTTGGGGTGGGGTGAGACTGAGTCCACTTGGTACTGTGGCCACTACTGGCATATTGTACCTGCCCCAGATGACAGATTATGATGATTGTGGAGTAGTTATGGAATGAGAATTGGCAGGGAAACTGAAGTACTTGGAGATAACCTGCTATTTTGTCCACCACAAACCCCACATGACCCGACCTAGGCTCAAACCTGGGCCGCCATGGTGGGAAGCTGGCAACTAACTGCCTGAGCTATGACACGGTCTTATAATGTTCTTATTTGTAAGTTCTAATCACATCTGTTATGACAGTATTTTGTTATACCTACACCGTAGATACCTAAATATGCTCTCATCTGAAATATTTTTTAAGTATAGTAGTCACACTGTCAAAAGTAAAGTAATCCCTGTGCTTAATTAAGTTCATGCCATCAAGATAGATATGGGAGTGGAGGAAGAGCCCCATGCATTCTTAACTTGAACATTAGGTGGAGATGAGTGGTCAGCTTCATACCTCTTCTGCTTTACCTCCAGGAAGGAAACCCTGGTACCCATGGGCTAATAACCTGGGTAGACCTTGCAACATTCAGGACACTTTGGAGATGTGAAATATCTCTTTCCCTGCTGAGAATTGAACCAGGATTACTGTGTACCAACCATGCTATCCCAGCTAGACAGTGTTGAATATAAATAATTATATAAATAAATGAATATTTTTTCTTCTGACTTACTTGGTAGTCCTGTAACAAATCTCTTTCCTTTAGGGATGTTGTAAAACATTCAATTTTAGGTTATGTTAACTGTTTTAGTAAACAGTCTTCTTGGATGTGACATCATATAATCTGGTAGATATATAATGACATTTTGGAGGTATGTACTGCCTCCATATTCAGGACTGAAGAGTAAACTGAGGAAGCAAGCAATAGACAGCGTTCCAACAAAGTATTGGTAAACTTCTACCAGACTATAGAGTGTCATGTTCCAGAAGAAGGCACTTATCTGTAGAACTGTTTGCAGGACAACAATTTATTTCCTAATTGAGAGGATTACCTCCATTTAGAAGTTTTGCTTTAACCTTTAAACGACTAAAGACAACGTATGTCGTCGCAGATAGTAAAGGCAGCGGTACGAATGACGCCACGTGGTGTCGCAAAGTCCGTGCGTGCGGACGTTATTTCAAATACATTTTTAAGGTAGAAAATAATGTCCTACTTATATAATTTTTGGCCACCATCTGCATGGAGTGTCTGTCTTCCCACCTGCGTCATCTGCCAGAATGTTGCCTTCGTGTGGAATTCTCAAAAAAAATCCGGAAATGCAGAGTCCGATTTCGCACTTCACGTACTTTGTCCTGACGGTCTTTCGTTTCCCAAGCGAAAAGCGCACACGACACCTCAATTGCGAAGTAGAGGAAGTCGGCCAGTGATGTGGTTTGGCCTTCTATAATCGAGAAATCTCCGATAAAAGGGCAGGGGTTCGACCCCTGGTCGCACAGTCCGCGCGTGCGGACGTTATTTGAAATACATTTTTAAGGTACAAAATAATGTCCTACTTACATAATTTTTGGCCACCATCTGAATGGAGTGTCTGTCTTCCCACCTGCGTCATCTGCCGAAATGTTGCCTTCGTGTGGAATTCTCAAAAAAATCCGGAAATGCAGAGTCCGATTTCGCACTTCACACACTTTGTCCGGGCGGTCTTTCGTGTCCCACGCGAAAAGCACACACGACACCTCAATTGCGAAGTAGAGCAAGTCGGCCAGTGATGTGGTTTGGCCTTCTATAGTCGAGATATCTCCCATAAAACGGCAGGGGTTCGACCCCTGGCCGTTGATGGCGAGGTGGACCCCTAACAGCATGTTCCGCAAAAGAGCGAGACGAAATTCTCAGTGTGACAACAGGATGTAACTGTTCAGACCAAGGAGATGGAAAAATAGCTTATTTGTCCATTTCCAGGTTCGACAACAGATGCTATAACTGTTTGGCACAGTTTGCCCACAGCTCCACCTGAATAATTATTCACACTCCTCGTGCCACGCTGGTGTGGTGGTCCCCAGGTTGCCGACGAATAGCTAGACAGAACACTTCCAGTTACGAACCAAGCACTCAGTGTAATGAAACTGTATAAAGAAATGTAATCTTAGTGTGCAGCCGAGCCATTCGCCCACTCTTCATTCCACAAGAATTACGTCATGGTACGATCACACTTTGAAATTACGCTCGACTGAACGCTTCCAGCCACGAAGCTATTACGGTGTGTGTTCATACAGTAACACGATTTCATAAAACAAACGCTAGCCTTCAACTCTACAAGAACAGTACACGTATTGTTTAGAAGAACTCTATATGCAACAACACGTGACTTTATATCATTCGTCCACCGTCCACATTCTAGTAGTAGTACGTCATTTAGCCTAAGATAAACTCTAGACACAACATCCGTTGTATTACCGTGACTTCCACAAGTGTCCTCATCAGGCAACTTGCATTCAGGGGTATCCATAACGTATGGATTCTTGCACAGAAACAAGAAACTGGGAAATTTCTTCTTTGGAGTCAGTGCAAAAATTTTAACATGTTTCATACAATCTGTAATTTACAATATCTGATTCTATATTCTTTCGAGAAAAAAACAGCGTTTATTTCGTTCGTTTATCACAGAAATTGCAGAAATAGGAGCAAATTTAGTAAGTCACTACAGTTTTTACGGATTTCTAATCGCGGGTATTTAAATATATTCCGTACGGCTGCCTTTACCGGAATTTAAATGCCCGTAGGATAAGCGTTAATTACATATTCTTTGTGTTTAATTTGTTTGGCAGTATTCGTATTTGGGATACTCGTGCAGCTCCTAGCAAAGCTTGTATGCTGACTGCAAATTGTGCTCATGAAAGGGACGTTAATGTTATCAGCTGGAACCGAAATGAGCCTTTTATAGCTTCAGGTGGTGATGATGGAATGTTACATATATGGGACCTGAGACAGTTTCAGGTGGGTTTTATTCAGGTTCTGCTGATGTGTAAGCCCATAAAAGATATCTGTAACACAGTTCAGTGACTCATACAGTAAGATGTGATGCCAAGTTGTTTGGCAGCTGGGTGTGAATATTTCAAAGGGAACATCTGCCATAGTGAGCACCTCATGTTTCACCCTATGGACATTGTGATTGGAGAGATTCATTGAACCATGGAAGAGTTCTCACAGAAATCATTGAAGTGGTTAAGACACATTGGTCTTAACAATTTTTTCACAGAATTTCTGAATGTACCCTGTACTATTGAGAGCTAAGATAGCTCTCTTGATATAATGACAGGCTTTGGGCTGGGATTCAATTCTTGGCAAGGTTGAGAGGCTTGCTTCTACTTCATAGTGCCCAGACTGGCTATGGGGCTTACCCAGCCTGGTATCCAGTGGGCACCAGGGGTTCTTTCCCCAAGGGTAAAATGGCAGGGTTGTGAAGTTGACCACTCACGTTCATCTAGTGCCAAGGTCATGAATGGTGGAGCTACACTTTTGCTCCCCCATACAATTTATGCCTGGGTGCTAAATTAATTAATTAAGCATAGGGACAACTTTACTTTTACCCTTACCATGCATTCTTAGCTGTCATTGTCTTTACTTAAAAATGTACATGGCTTTATATCCTTGCCAGCAAATGGTATATAAGGTCTAACAACATCTTGTGGTTTTTTTTTCTGAATAGGAGACATTTTGCTAAAATGGCCATCAGGCAGGAGCTGAACCTCACCTGTCTGGCAGGGAATGTTCTAAACATGTACCTACCTTAGGCAGAAACTGCATTACTTACTTACACTGCTTTGCCACTTCAAGATGGAGCAGTAGTGAGGTTACGTAGGATCAGGCCTGTGCTGAATCTCAGCTATTGCTGGTTTCTCACCATGGAGGCCCAGGTTCATTCCCAGGGAAATCCTTGTAGGATTTTTTGTGAAAGACGTGACACTGTTGCAGGTTTCTGACCAAGTACTTCATCATTTCCTTGACATTTACCACTCCATTAATGCTCCATACTCTCATCTCTCCTCTGAATCTGGTACAGTGCACCCATTTGTGGCTGCAGTACCAAGGGATCCGTCCTTATCCAACCTCAAGAATAAAAAATGAACAATAGGTGTGGTCAGAGATGGTTGTATTTGGCCTTTGCAGAATTATGTTGCACAAGAGTTGTAAGTCAGAGATTGTATTTCATGTCAGTTATTCATTATTTCTTGCCATTTGTGTTAAGTTATGTATTTTTATGGCAGAGTGAGTCTCCAGTAGCAACGTTTAAGCATCATACCCAGCCGGTAACCACAGTTGAGTGGCATCCCACTGAAGCCACTGTGTTTGCCTCTGGAGGTTGTGATGATCAGATTGCATTATGGGACCTTGCTCTTGAAAGAGATACTGAGGATTGTGAAGATGATATCAAAGTAAGTTAATATTTTCATTTGTAGGGATCCAGTTCCCTTTTTTAAACTCTTTCAATATCATGTTTTTAGTTCAGACATCATTAGTATAGACATTAACCTCTTCACCTCTGCATTTTTTAAGAATTGACATATCCTCAAGCCAGACTTCACTTTTATTTTTTTCCCTACAGATATGGAAGTCACTTCAGATTTTACATGCATATATAAACCACAACTACTTTTATTGTTATGCTCTTGAGTTAACGTCCTTTGAGCAAGTATGAAAATTTAAAGATTCATAAAACAGAAGTGTGTTCAGCATTGCTGTGAAGAAACAAACAGAACTTGAAACAGGTGAATTCAAGTTTGGCCTGGTGAAAACATCAGAGAAACATGAGTATAATTAGGGTTGAACCTGATAAAGTTACCCAGTCTTCATAAAACTCTGAACAGCGTGCCTTTGGAGAAAATTACTTTTCATGCTTCTGAACTTCCTCTTGTCAACAATATGAGCATGGTTGTTTTGTTTCTTGAATACTGGGTGCAATTCGAAGTAGGTTCTTGAAGTTCTGGCATTTGATAGATTGTATGGCTTTGGGTATGTTAGAGAACATTTAGACTAGGGATGCCTTTGGTCCTGATATTATGTTTGAAAAGGTAACAGAGAAGCAGAACTGATGAAAGAGATTAAGACTGAATTTCTGAAAACTAAAATACTGTACTTAGAGAAATGGAAGGTGAATTCCTTTGAAAGTAAGCTCTTTCATTCAGCATATAAAGAGTTTTTCCAACTTTGCTGCCAGTTGTTGAAACATTGCATTGTGTTAAATCATTTGCACACAAATTTTTTTAAATTTTTAATTTTTTCCCCCAGAATTTGTATAGGGTGGGAGGTGACATGTAATACCTTGTTTATAGCCAAAAATTGCTGCACAAGCCAGGTTAAATGAGCGTGTGTTCTGTAATGGTGGATTTGCAAGTTCCTGGTTTCCCTGTTTTTCCTCTGCTTATGACATGCTGCACACATATTTCTCAGCTCTTGCAAATGGAAATGAGGTTTAATAGTCTGACCTTTTGGGGCACTCTTATGATCAGACCTGTACAGATCCTGGGATCCAGGTGCAAAGAATTGTTTCCTTGTTACTGCTAGCACATGATCCATCATAGTTGACTAGCAGAATAGTTTCTCTTTTACTTTCCTATCCTTTATCCATGTTACAGTATTATTTCCTTCCCTACTTTCTCCCATATTGCTTTCCCACCCCTTTTTGTTATTCCTATTGCCCCCTTCTTCCATCTTCTTTACATTAAAATAGTCCCCTGTTCTTCCATTCCTTTATCCCTTTATGTTCCTGTGTTTCCTATATATTCCTTTCTCATCCCTTGTATTTGTGTGCTCTCAGTATCCTAGCAGTGATGTGTTTGGCTGTTTAATGTTTGTATGTAGATGTCTCAGTTCTATCAAAAAAGGTCAGATTTCCTGTCTCAGGCATATTGCTTTTTATTCTGGCTTATTCTGGATTTATAGGAAATTTCTGCAGGCCTGTTTGTAATGTACAGTATTATTGTAACTGAAGAAAACAATGTCACTTTGGTTTTGCTTTGCCTTTGGTGAGCTGTCTGTGGGCATGATATGGGTGGGGATTTCCACTGTGATGATTGCAGTTTTAATTTTGGGGTTATGAGCATATTTTCATATAAACTTGTTTCATTAACACTGTTTTTATGTTTTCATCAGTGTCTCGACATGTCATTACAGTGAATTCTAAATTTTGTGTTCTGCATTTAGTGAAACCCTATCTTGATGAAAACAATTTGAAACCGGGTCTAGAAAACTTACATTACAGAGTTGACATACATTGTAATGAGAGTTGATGGAGCACCAGAGTTCTGTTGTTTGTGGACACACTAGTATGATATCTCATGACCGCACAATTTGTATACGTGCTCATCCAATAAAGGGCTTGGTGCTTACCATATTGGTTCTGTTAAATGATACTGATGCTAAGCTGAGAGACTTTTTTATCAGTGAAACATCAGGAAAAAAAAAGATTTCACATTTCAATAAATATGGGAACTGGAAAGGGAAGAATAATACTTAATATTTTGTTCATGCAGCCACCTTATGTGGACGTGTGTCCGAGCGACTCTGATGTAGTATCAGCGCCTAAAGTGTTGGAAGGTTTATTATTATTATTATTATTATTATTATTATTTGATATGGGGGACTTCCACTGCAAGTTGTCAGGCTGTTCTTATCTTGTGCCATATTGACTCATAATGAAGACCACCTTACATAAGACCATTAGTGGACATTTCCATGTATGTTATGAACTGTTAATCCAATTTTATAAACGACTGCAAGGAAGCATAATAAATTTCATAGAACACCACTGAAAATCTTGTGAACTACATTATGGAATGCACTGTTTTCACTGTTTGTCTGGGCATTCACAACTGTTTGAACCTTACAACCCTACCAGGTCTTTTGTTTAATTTCATTAATTTGATATTGCCAGAATATGTGTCATTAGAATAGAATCATGATTAAATATGACATTTTTATGGTATGCATCTTGTTGTATACATCAGTTCTATGGTTTTTGTNAGCCGAGCCCCGTAACCGGGTAACTATGCAAGGCGAATCAACAGCGGTGACGTAACAGGATGACGTGGCACTCATTACGCAACAAGCAAGCACTGCAGCTATATAAGTGAGCTGCACAGTGGCTGCGAGTCAGTTATAAAGTAACAATCGCGGAGTTGAAACAGAGCTACAGCCGCGTGTGCGATAACCCGTGATAACCAGTCATATCTGGAGAGTGTAATTCAGGGAGACTTATATAGCTCCCGCGTTATTAATACGTGAAGACTCTTGAAGAGAGTGTGAAGAGATTTTGTTGTAGGGTTTGTAAAGTGTGGAAACCCGTAATATTGTGATCATTAATTATAGCCGTTATTTGTAGATTGTTAAATAAACCAATTAACCATCTCTACGGCGTCTTCAGTAACGTAAACACGTTACATTGGTGTCAGAAGTGGGATCAGTAACGTAAACACGTTACAT